TGACTTGGAAGAGACTCAAAACGAAGAAGATGAATTTAAGTCGATTCCTCCATGGAAGAGTCAAATCACTGTTAGAGGAATCGTTGCAAGTGTGTTCATTGGTATTATCTACAGTGTGATAGTGATGAAGCTAAACCTAACCACAGGTTTGGTCCCAAACCTAAACGTCTCTGCAGCACTATTAGCCTTCGTGTTCCTTAAAAGCTGGACCAAGCTACTCACAAAGGCAGGGATTGTGACTAAACCGTTTACCAAACAAGAGAACACTGTGGTCCAAACTTGTGCTGTTGCTTGTTACAGTATTGCAGTTGGAGGTAATTTGGTGGAACTTTTTTGACAAATCTTTGATTAGCTTTGTGTTTCCATGTTTTGGTTAGGATTTAGATTGTTGGAAGTTTGTGTTAATGTGATTGCAAATTTTTTGTAGGTGGGTTTGGCTCGTACCTTCTTGGTTTGAGCACAAGGACTTATGAACAGTCAGGAACTCACACTGAAGGGAATAGACCTGGAAGTACGAAAGAGCCCGGGATCGGTTGGATGACCGCTTTCTTGTTCTTTACTTGCTTTGTTGGTATTTTGGCATTGGTTCCTCTCAGAAAGGTAGAGACTTTAAGCTTCTTGTTTCATTGAATTGTGTGACTAGAGATGTTATAGCAGGCCAAAAGTTTGTGGGTCGATCTAGTCCATACGAGCATGCTATGGACCATGCCAAACCGGCAACAGAATTTAGGGCCGGGCTTAATATTGGCCGAGTTTGGACTATTAAGCCCGGCTTGATTCGTTTGGTCTGTCACAACATCTCTATTTGTAAATGGTTTAGATTGCTAAGATTTGTTATGTTGTTTTGTTAAACCAGATCATGATTATAGACTACAAGCTGACATATCCCAGTGGAACGGCTACTGCGGTTTTAATCAACGGTTTCCACACTCCTAAAGGCAATAAAATGGCCAAGTACTAACCGGACTTTTTTCGTAGTCACTTGCTCTGTTATAGAGTGTAGGATTTGAATTAACTGTTTGTTGATTCTTTTTGTATGCAGGAAACAAGTGTTTGGGTTTGTAAAGTATTTCTCCTTTAGCTTCGTATGGGCGTTCTTTCAATGGTTCTTCTCTGGTGGTGTGGATTGCGGATTCATTCAATTTCCAACATTTGGATTACAAGCTTGGAAGAACTCGTGAGTCTTATATCGAATTACTAGATAAAAAATCAACTAATAAAAAACAGAATCTTGATGATCTTGAAATACCGTCGCAGATTCTACTTCGACTTTAGCATGACATATATCGGAGCTGGAATGATCTGTCCCCACATTGTCAACTTATCTTTACTTCTCGGCGCGATTTTGTCGTGGGGAATCATGTGGCCTCTTATTAAAGGTGTTAAAGGAGATTGGTACCCATCAACACTTTCTGAAAGCAGCATGAAGAGTCTCAATGGTTACAAGGTTCCAAACAAAAATACTGATAATACACAATAATCTCGCTCTCTTTTTTGCGCAATTTCATTATTTGTTCAATATTTGTTCATAAATCCACAGGTGTTTATATCAATTTCATTGATCCTCGGAGACGGTCTTTACCATTTCATCAAGATACTTCTTTCCATAGCAATAAACATACACTCCAAGATAAAGAATCGTCACTCTGGCGAATCTAGTAAGTATATATAACAAAAACTATCGAAATCGCGCATCCTTGTTGTATCTGATAGAAGAATATTCGAATGTAAAATCGCAGATTCGGAGAAAGATAAGCAGTCTATTGCAGATCTTAAAAGAGATGAGATCTTTATAAAAGACAGCATTCCTTTATGGGTTGCAGCAGTTGGATACGCAGGTTTCTCCGTTGTCTCGATCATCGCGATCCCACTAATGTTCCCCGAGCTCAAATGGTACTTCATAGTTGTCGCTTACATGTTAGCTCCATCCCTAAGTTTCAGTAATGCCTATGGAGCAGGACTAACAGACATGAACATGGCTTATAACTATGGTAAAGTTGCTCTGTTCATCTTAGCCGCTATGGCGGGTAAACAAGATGGTGTAGTCGCGGGACTAGTCGGATGCGGGTTGATAAAATCGATCGTGTCGATTTCATCTGACCTGATGCACGATTTCAAGACCGGACATTTGACCCTGACTTCGCCACGGTCGATGCTTGTGAGCCAAGCAATCGGGACGGCGATCGGATGCGTGGTGGCTCCTCTCACTTTCTTTCTGTTTTACAAAGCTTTCGATGTCGGAAACCCCGAGGGAGAGTATATAGCTCCGTACGCTTTGATATACAGAAACATGGCGATTCTTGGAGTCGAAGGTTTCTCTGCTCTGCCTCAGCATTGTCTCCAGCTTTGCTATGCGTTTTTCGCCTTTGCGGTGGCGGCAAATCTCGTTAAGGATAGGTCGCCGGAGAAGATTGGGAAGTGGGTTCCATTGCCAATGGCTATGGCGGTTCCGTTTCTTGTCGGAGGGTATTTTGCCATTGATATGTGTGTTGGGAGTTTGATTGTGTTTGTGTGGAATATGAGGGATCGGGTTAAAGCCGGTTTAATGGTACCGGCGGTTGCTTCCGGTTTGATATGTGGAGATGGTCTTTGGATTTTGCCGTCGTCGGTTCTTGCTTTGGCCGGAGTAAAACCTCCGATCTGTATGAGCTTCATGCCGGGTAAATAATTATAGAACATAGTGTTTATGAGTTTTACTTTTTTGTGTAGCGTTTAAAACTAGCTAAAGAAATGTTTAGGAATCGCTAAAGAAATAAAAAGAGTTTGAGAAGTTACATACAAATCGTAAAACAAAAGTGGTTGCTTATAATTTGTTGCAAAGAAAAGGCTAGTTCTTGACAACAACTGTCTTGATAAACTCCATAACTATTGAAACAAGTTGACGTTGATGCTTGCTAAAGCCATGATTAGCTCCTTGCACAATTTCCAGCTTGTGGTTTGGTACAACCATTGCAAACTCCTTAGCATCTTCAACTGGTACTACCATGTCATCTGGTCAAGACTTTGCATTCTTTGTCAATCTTGGTGCAAGCTTGTCGCATATCCGTGTTTAGCCTCTCCATTAAACTCTCCTCGGTAACACGGAACTCGGATTTTCCCTCTGTAGCATCGATGAATCCATGTTCCTTTAGTTTTTCAGGATAACCTTCTCCAAGACGTATGCCTTTTTTAAGATCAAAAAGTCCCGATATATTGATTACATTGCGAATATCGGGATACTTGGAGGCGTACCTCTACTATGCCCGAGAATGGTAGTGATTACGCGGTTGGTGTTGGTGTTGTTAGAGGACAAGTGTTGGATAACGGAATGTAAATCATCAGCTTCGTAGTTGTAGTTACCGTAATTGAAACTTCCTTCGCTTTCTCCATAGCCAGAGAAATCGAAACGGAATGAGCCTGATGGATTCTTTCTCTAAAGCAGTAGCAACTTTCTTGAGGATTTGGTTGTCCTTGTTCGAGTTAAATCCATGGCACATGACCACAATTTCTTTTGAACCAGTTTCATGAAGCACACCAACCAGCTTCTCGTTGTGGCTGTTCGTAATCACCATCTTGATCTTCTGTGTGCAAACTGCTAACAAGAAATAAATAATTTTTAAAAAAATCCCAAACGATTCCATTGATTAATTATTCGATTCCACAAACTAATCTCTAATCACATTGTATATAAAATGGCATAACCCTAATCAGAACCTTAGAACAAACTGAAATCGTGAGAATTGGAATCGATTGTTAAGGTACCTGAACTTCCTTTTCCCTTAGACGAATCCATTGTTAAGGTACAACAAAAATCCAACGTTGCTTGCTTACAAAAAACGGACCCCTATTTACAATGTTAAAAGGTAAGACGATAAGAAAAACGAAGTCCAATTTGATTTGCACAAAGCCCAATTTGATTTAATTTCAAAAGTCAAAGCCCAGGTTGACCAAAACTACCCCTGGTTACCTACCAACAAAACACAAACCCTAAGCAAAATTCAAGGGTAATTTCGTATTTTCTTCCAGAAATTAAACACGATTAAGTAGGTGAAGAAGAGGAAACCGATCCATGTACCTTCGTCTTTTTGCTGATTTAAGCTTTGGAGCTATCGAAATTCTGAATCTGCAAAGGGGAAAGATCCCACTCTTTTTTTTTTTCTCGAGAATCCGTAAGGAAAATTCGTATAATCATCACCTTCGCTTCTGATTTTTTTCCCTACTAGTTTTTGGATTGATTCACTCTGACGTGTTGTTGTTCTTGTTTGCAAGTTTGAGAAGAGATGGCTTCAGATCGGAAGGTTCTAGCTTTCGAAGAAGTTTCAAAGCACAACCAAACCAAGGATTGTTGGCTTATTATCTCCGGCAAGGTTAGATCTCATGACAAATCTCTGTCTAGACGGATTACACGACATAGTTCTCTTCCTCTTTGGTTTTTGTTAAAGCTTCGATTCTCAAGTTGAATAGTTGGATTGAACAAAAAAAATTTAGTGCATATTATTTCTCTGAGTGATTGATTTTTTTTTTTTTTTTATGTGATTCACACTGGAGAAACATGGTTTGTGTC